CACACACACACACATATATATATATATATATATATATATATATATATATATATATATATATATATATATATATATGGGTATGTGTGTGTGTGTTAGGTTGAGTCTTATTCTATTCTTATTATATTCATATTTTTTTTGCAGCCGCAGCCATTGATGTTGAAACACTGATGCTACCAATCACCCCTCGCTTGATTATTAAAGGTAATGTTGATGCCTTCCTCATTTTTATTAGATTTTTAAATGTCAGGTTTTTCACAGATTTGTTGTGAGCAGTTTCTTGTACGAACTCTTTTTCTTCTTCCAGAAGTTCCACCAGTACCTCCAGTAGTAGTAAATATTAGACAAAGATTTTTTTAAACTATAGTTTTTATTTTTATTAGCAATTTTACTGGGCATGTGTGTTTGTTTGCTTGGTTTTTAATAGGCAGAGCATGGAATGTCAACTTTGTTTCTACAAACAAATTTAATTATTCACAAACACCTCTAATTTAGTCCTTCTTTCCCCCTTTTAGTCTTATTCCTTGGAGGGTCGAGTGGTCATGGGACCTCACCTGGGTTTCACAACTGACTTTGGATCTGGTCTGAAACTGAAGTATGCTGAAGATGCCTTTTGCACTCTGGAATTTAAGGTAATGTCTACAATAAATATTGTAACTGAGGGCTTGTTTTGGGGGGTTAAACAAGGAATGTATAGGAACAAAAGTCATGACTCCCCTTGTCCCCTTGTTATAAAGGGCCGTGTTGCAGACACAATTTGTTTGTCTGTGCTGGAGACCAAAGGGGAAGCTGTCTTTAAAAGAATGGGGCTCTTATACCATATGTGAAGTTACCTATTCAGGTGAGTGGATTACATGCAAGTCATTGCAAATGCATAAATAGTGGGAAATTTTTACTGGGCAGCACAAATTAAGTGAAACTCAAAAAACGTTTAAAAATATTTGGAATATTTGCAAAAAACTTGATTGAAATGAATACAACACAAGTGCTGTATCACTTCAATCAAGTTTTTTTTTGCAAAATTTTCCTAATATTTAAATCATGAAAAATTAGCTTGATGCAAGAAACATCCTGCTAGTATTCAAGAGCAAGTGCTGTGATGCATGTGTTAACTTTGCAATAAGTGTGAACCCAGCATTAGATTATAGTCTGTAAACAGAAGATGTAAATCAAATCAACTGTTTTAAAATGCTCTGCCTAGGTCATTAAAACCACTATTTGTTGTTGGACTGTTCTTGATTGTGTGTTTGTGATGGAAATGTTTTTCAGATGTTTTTGTTTAAATGATTGCAGTTTGACTGAGCTACAGTATTGTCAGCATGTTCAAACTGAGCTAACAGTAAATTTGCTCTCTAGTGCAGCAGTAGTGTCCCAGTAGTGTTGTATGAAGCTAACTGTTTGTCTGCCCTTTTGCTTATAGGTGCTTTTTGGGCACCAGTTTGGAGATGGAAGACAGACGAAGTCAGAGAAGACACATCAACCAGCAAGTGTGTAAAATTATCAGGAAAATAATTGACCTTGAATAGACGACTGCCTAATTTAGCAAGAAGTTTTTTCTCTCTCTCTCATGTATATATATATATATATATATAATGAGAGAGAGAGAGAGAGAGCGCACTCTGAAGCACTGTTTTTTATATGTATGCTACATATGATGTCAGATTTTTTTGTTAATATGTTCTTATAGTATTTTTTGAGGCTTCACCTTTTGAAAGTTTTCTAAAATGTTTACACAGATGTCATTAAGCTGTAAAATAAATCTGTAAAATGTATGTGTGTTTGTTTTGATTTTGATTTTAGAGTCTTCTCAGATCACCCAAAAATGAAGATTCTGTCGTCATTTACGCATCCTCAGGTTGTTTGGACACAAAGAGGAATATTTGATATTTTTATTCCTGTTTAACAAAAAAAAATCATTTTTACAGAGCTGGAATAACCTGAGGGTGAGTAAATTAAGACAGAATTTAAATATGCTTTAAAATTTTACAGCACCAAACTGTTAAATTACAGTAATCCAGGATATAACTGTAACTTTACAGTTAAATCAAGTATTTAAACTGCAACCTACTGCTAAATCACAGTAATCGTTTTGCAAATTCACAGTAAAATATAGTTAATTCTACAAGATAATACTGTGAAATCACAGTAACAGACTTTATTATCTACTGTAAAGTTACAATATATGGTTGTAATTTCACAATAATTTAATGTGACAAAACCACAGTAAATTACTGTGAACTACCTCACAATAATTTACTGTGAATTTACATACAGTAATTTACTGTGAAAGTAATGCAATTATTAGCCAGTAATTTACTGTGAATTTAAGGTCAAATTTTTTACAGTGTAGGTGCCCTTTAAACCATCAGATGAAAAGTGCTACAGTTGATTGACTGCATTTAAAGGGCGCTTTAAAGCCCCGCCTCTGGCTTGTGATGACGCCCTGTCAATCAAACTGTTATTGTTGGTTGCTTCAATTTGTTTGATGGTCTAATTCGACAACAAGGTAACGGACTATCATTATTCACTCATATGGCCACATAATGAATAATCATTAGACATCAAGACATTCCACTTGTACATTAATTAGTATATATATATATATTTTTCTTTTTTATTAATTCATCTTTGTGAGGTTTATCATAGATGTGATTTTTTTATATGAATATATTGCATGCCACACACACACACACACACACACACACACACACACATACACAATGTATTGTCACGACCCGGCTCAAAGTCAATGACAAAATTAAAGGGAGGACATACACCAGATGGTTTGGTACCAAAAAGTATTTATTTAAACATTAAAGAATCATCAAGTGCTCACTTTAGGTCAGCCAAATCAAATATTAACCAAAGCTAAAAAGAAACAAAACAAAACAAACAAACGGGAGCAAAAGCACGGCTCCTCACAAGCCAACTCTGCTGGCTTTTATAGAGGGGAACTCAGGTGTTCCCAATTGAGCAGATGAGTCTCTGTCTTTCCCGCTTTCGGCCGATCAGTGGGTTGGTCAAAGAGACTCGTCACCCCCCCCTAAAAAGAAAAAGACAAAGTCTTTCAACATAACATCAAACCCCACAATCCCCCTAAACCTCAGTATGAAGGTCAAACTGGTTCTCCATCCTCAGCCTTAGCTCACCAGCTCCTCCCAGCAACCATGGTGCCTAGGAAGCAATTTAAGAGAGAAAAACATACCTTAATACACAACCTTAAATACGAGATTAAGCACCAGCTCTATTGTTTTGAGAGCCTTTAATGTGGCAAATATCCAGCAGGTAACCCTGCAAGAACAACCACCACCTCAAAATCGACCTCTGACTGGGGTTTTGTAGTGGATGGAAAAAGCTAAGGATTGTGGCCCGTGAAATGCCCCAGACATCCCAAAGAAGATTCCACATAAACTCCAAGGTGCTGCCAAAGTCAATTTTCAACACGTTGTCAACCTCACCCTCATATTGCTTCTTCCTATTTGTTAAAACTCTACAATACAATGATAGCCTTCGAATTGGAATTGAATCTCCCACATCGACATCATGCTCCATCAGATTTGTGCAAAACAGATTATCAGAAAACAGAGCAACATACTCATGAATCAAATCAATCAAGTCAGTGCAATGTACATGTGATAAGTGACTAAGATAATTGATCAAAGTACCACGTATACAACCTGGAAGAACTAAATCTCCAGCATCCTCGTCCAACAACACTGAAGTTGGTAAACGCTCTGTATTGGATGAATCCGAAAACTTAGCCTGAAAAGGTGAACAAATTACAACAAACAGAGCAAGAACTCGATCACCTGACTGAAATGAACACTTCAGTATGTCGACCAAAAAGTCGCCCCATTCGATCCCTTGCTTCCCTCCAAGAGCCCTTCGCCAGTTGACATGCTTCAGACATTGAGATGAAAATCATTCACATATGATAAACATTTTTTGGTGGATCAGTTTGTTTCCTGTCCATTTGTGTGCAGTATGACCTCAGCATAGACCTCAATGTTTGATAAATCTTTCCAGGGCTCCCTGGCTCTGAGGATGAAAAGCACTGGAAAGATTATGTTGAACATGGAGTGATTTCAAAACTTCACCAAACTAGTTGAAGTAAAATGACTCCCCTGATTAGATTGAATAATTCGGGGTATTCTAAACACAAACATGAACCGAGTCAAGGCTTTTACATCTGCAGTAGTAGAACGCAATGGGTATGCAGCCGGATACCTGGTCACCAGACACACAACTGCAGGCAAGCGCTCACCCTCTGCTTTCAACCTAGGCAATGGCCCTACACAACCAATCAAAAGATGTTCAGATGGTTGACGAATAGCAGGAATTGGTACAAAGGAGCAGGTTTAGCAGATTGATTTGGCTTTCCAGTTAACTGACACGTCTGACATGTACTTAGATATGTCACTTTATTTTTGGCCAAAAAAAAAAAAGTTTCAAAAGCAATTGTTATTTTTTCACTCCTAAATGTCCAGACGCGTCATGTGCAGTTTGCAGAACAACTTGGCGAAGAGACTGGGGTACTATAACTTGAAACATAGGATCACCAATCACAAACTCCCCATGGGGCACCCACTTTCAACACGATACACCACCATTAAGACCATGTCATTAAGAACCACTCGATCAAACAACTCAATTGTTCCCAATTGAGCAGACAGCCACAGAAGCCTGAGAGAAGCAGCAGATGCCTTCACAAAAACAGACATTCCTGCTGCGCAGACCAAGCTGGCTGCTCTAAAGCTGATCATCGCAGACCAGAAGCGAAGAAGTTGAGCTGAATGGCCTCCTGGAGCCATTTTGACCTGAGCAATCAGATCCCATGGAGAGGGTGAATCAAAGGCAGCATATGTGGAGTGGAGAGTAAGCCTTATACAGATGAACCTGTTTGACAACCTAAGATTTTCAATCAAAGTCAAGATGACACGGTTATATTATTAATAATAATAATAATAATAATAATAATAATAATAATTCAAATAAAAAAAACTCCTGACAGTACATGGCATTTTGTTTGTTTATCTTGTAAATAATATTTTAGTGTGTGTGTGTGTGTTTTCTTTACATGAGACTTTAGTTGCAAATATACCCAGCACGCACACACAAATACAAATGCAATCTGCTACTGTGTAAAACTTTGATGTTATTTACAGGTGTGCAGAAAATTAGCATTATCGATCAGCTTCTGCTCAGGGGAGGTAGGGATCATCTGTGGCAGTGTAATTTCCATCTCCACATGCTCAATTCAAAGAAGCAATCCTCAAATCTTTTTTTCAGTTTTCATTTATTTTTATTTTTGCATGAGGAAACATCTCATCCTTCATCATAATGCCTGCGAGTGTCCAGTCAGCATGCATCATTTGATCAACGTTTCAAAGTCGAAATATATTTTCAAAAAGAAAATGTTTTCCACATTAGCTTCAACAGTACAAAAGCAAAATGCGTCTTTTGATTTGTTTTTATAACGTTTGAATCTAATTTAGAAAAAGCCATCATACTTCAGATTACAAAAATAAAAAAATACTTATTTCTTTTAAAGTTGTTAATTTTGTTATATACAGACTACATGTTAATACTAATAAAAAAATACCACTGCTACTAATATATTTACTAGTAGCATAATATTAATACAATAAAAAAAAGTTGTATTTTTCCAAGCTCTCCCAGGATGAAAGAGACGAAGAAGCGCTAATTAAAACACAGCTGATACAAATAATTAAAAATAGTTAACCCTTTGATTAGTTGCATCAGCTGTGTTAGATTAGGGCGGGAGCAACACTGTGCAGAGCTGCGGGCCTCTATAAATGGAGTTTGAGACCCGAGCCAGAGATTAATGCTTTTATAAGTTGTGCTGATGGAGATGAACTGGTTGTCTGGCTTATACTAGTTCTTGCTTGTCTTCTTGCAGGAACTGAGGGACAGGCATGTAAGGAACAGTGAGGCTGAAGTGCAGGAGTGCCACCTATGACCACCTATTCAGTTTTTCCTTAACTGCATGATGCATCATCTGATAGTTAAAGGTGAGACCTGAACCACTTCAGACCTTAACACACTCAAGATGGGGGTCAATTGCTAAAAACAAATACCTGTTATTTCTTTAATTATTAATTGTATGTTATTTCCAAATTAACAAAATTTCGTGTCAACTTTTACTAACTCAAAACAACAGTGTCATATCTTGATGAAATGTCCTAAGCTATATTGAATTAATTTAAAGAATTACAAATATCGGATATATTAAAAAAAAAAAAAAAAAC